TAATAAAATTTAATTTAAAAAAAAATTCACCATCACCCTGAAAAAAAAAAAAAAAGACACCACCCTAATACAAGAAGAACTGGATAGTGCCTGGCTACCACTACTAATTGCTCTGATTAAGATCACAATAGAAGGCCCTCCAAAGGAGGTAACAAAAAGAAAATTAAGAACAAAATTAATTAGTAAAAAAACATCAGACCAATGTGGTAGAAGACAGACAGAACCCATGAAATTGTGGCCCATCAAGTTTAAAAATGAGCCCACCCCTCGAGGTTCAACTATCAGAAAAATAAAAGGATAAAAAAAATAGGCCAATTAGGTGAACAATACCTGAGAGGAATGCACAACCAACTATATGAAATCCAAAGGGCAGTCTTACCCAGAACACAAAACTCAGAAGGCAAGGTGGAATAGGAAAGTAACACAAATGGAAATGAGGTACACAGATAGAAAGTGAGAGGGGTATTTTTACCTGGAAGGAATGGTAACCAATGCTATAGAAAAAACATATATGACTTATTGAATGGGAAATTAATTTATGCTATAAATTTTTACTGAAATTTCTATTAAAAAAGGAGGAAATAAGTCTTTTAGTCTGAGGTCAGAAACTTCATTTCCATTTTCTGTCTGAATTTTGGAATAACTTTTATTTTACTATTGAAATTAACAGCTTAATCAGGTAGATGTCCATGATGAGCTTTTTCAACCCAAAATTTCCTAGAATACATACATTTTTCTAATCTGTAAGTTCAGCTCTTATTCTTTTATTCCATAAAAATTTCTTATAGTATATTCCAACTTTTATTCAGCTTTTTCACTTGATTGATGAACAAATATCTTTATATTATTTTTGTTTTCTATTTAGTTTAACTTCTAATTGCTTTAATATCATGATTATTTACATTTGTGTTCACTGAAATTATCAAGCCTTTTAACTTTTCTAGTAATTGAATTTTCAGTGATGTCTATTATTACTAGTTATTTCTAATTTTGTTTTGCATCAGGGAGTTGGACAATGACCAAGGAGGATAGAAGGAGAATTGATGCCTTTGAGCTGTGCTGCTGGAGAAGAGTATTGAGAATACCATGGACTGCTAGGAAAA